AGCAGAACACAACAGTTTTGCAACCGTTTTATGATTCTCTGCTGAGATTGGACCATTCCTCTTAATCTAAAAGCATAGCCCAATCAGCGCGAAGAAAACTTCTAACAGTTGCAAAATAAACGTTCTGCTGAACGCAGCCATTCTATCCTTGTTTTACACGAAATAATAAACACGAAAATACAGAATGACAGAAGTAGCGCTAATAGCGTCTCCCTAAATGCACCAATAGTGGCACGTAAAAAATCTCGACTGTAAAAAGATTTTTTCTTAACCCAATATATACATATATATTAATATATGTATATTAATTTCTTTAAAAAGAGTGAATTTAATTTTTTTATTCTGCATTAGATCGTGTAGATAATCATTAGTTTACCGCTCATAGATAAATAATACTATGATATAATCGTACGTGAATTTACCGACATCTCATTTTTGTGAGCATTTTCATTTCTGAAGTTGATACAGATGTCGTATCAGGATTTCTGTGTGCTCTTCTGATACGTGTACACATATATATAAGATTATATACATGTATATATCAATATATATATGTGTATATATATTTCTTATTACAGAAAATGTCAAGACTCTCGTGTTGCGGGATGACTGTTGATTGTTGAGGCGTTTCTCTAAAGATATGATGTACTTTGAACCTACTGAGTGGGAACTGTAGTTCGAAACGGCCGCAACGAACACAATTGTGATTTACGTCTCCAGCAGTCAGGCTCTTGATTTGTAATTGACGTCAACCGATCAGATACCGTTTTCGGTCACTTGGCCACGTATCAACGAGGACGTTAACATTCTATAGCTAGCATATTGCAAAAAGGCAGGAAAATGATTAATACGGGGTAAGTAATGTTTTGTAATTTCAAGTTCATGTGTTTCTATATGATTCATCAAGTTTTTATCCTCAACAGTACTACCAGAGACAGTAGTATAAATTTACATAAGTATGTATATATATTTCATTATCTGATTGCTACGTGGACTCATTTTCATAATTTATGTAAACACATGATAATGTATAAAATATGTGTTAAATTTATTGTTGTACTGTTCATAAGTTGTACAAATTAAAATGTGAATTGCATTACTTAAGTCTAAAAATTTTTTACTTAATTCTAGAATTGTTGATTTATTTGCATATTGAAAACAAAAATTTATTCAAAAACAGATTTATGTTTGTAAATGATGTAATGTAAATATATCAATTAGTGGATATGACCCAATTTGCTGGACAAAGTGACATAAAATTTTAAATATTAAGATTTTAATGATGTATATGACTTTGATTAAATTTGTTGTTTATAAAAATTTAATAATATAAATATATTTAGAATTGTACATATCATTAAAAGTATAATATTTTAAATGATTAATTTTTTTACCTAACAATTGATTCATGTCCATTAACTGATACATTTATCTTATATGATACATTAAATTACTATTTTACATTTTAAAACTTAAATATAATGAATTATTACAGTATATTATTTATAAAACAAAATAAATGTATAAATATAAATATGATATTTGTAATCCTCATGAATGATTTATAATTTGTTAAATGATATATAGTATTTTTTTAATAATACATCTAGATAAATAATAATGCTATTATAAATGTTGTGTCACTGAACAAGATTATACTAGTTACTACCAATATTTGACAGGAAGTTGGCCGGTCGGACTATTTTTATAACTGGAGCTTCAAGAGGTATTGGGAAGAGTATAGCTTTGAAAGCAGCGAAAGATGGTGCAAATGTTGTTATTGCTGCAAAAACTGCCGAACCACATCCAAAGTTACCGGGTACCATTTATACGGCGGCTTCTGAAAGTAATTATCGCTTAATTTTTCACCAGATTTGGGTTTATGGTACAATCTGACAGCGATACATTTATAGGTATTGGTTTATGGATAAAAAAAGACTTACTGATTTTTATGAATAAAAAATTCAATACAAAATTAGTTTTATTTGTGTTAAATATCAATATTAAAACTAATAAAATTATTACAAAAATAGAATATTCTTT